AAAGTCTCTATCAGCATCAGTCCATAACATTCTTGAGAAAGTTTAGACTCTCTTTGCTGCAATTCAGAGAACAGTCATATGCATACCAGTTAAGTCCATTATTCTGAGAGGAACAAAATAATCACTAAAGAGTGTTGCTTTGGGGCTCAAATAAGTTTGCAGGAGCTCTAGCTAACTCCACTGCTTATCCTATCCTTCTTTTATAATTTTCAAAGTGCTTTCATTTCCATTATTCTAGTTGAGAGCCTGTGGTATGGACTTGACCCAGATGTTCTTCCATGAGGACATACAGGTGATCATGTGAATTTGCTCTTTATTGGCCACAAAATTGTCTTTTTTTTTTAATCTTGCTGAATCCAGATTCGACAGTTCTGACAATGCGCTGTCCCAGCCGTACCATTTCACTGAATCCCTCTATTCTTCTAGACCATGTTTCTAGAACATAAATCAATCACCCCAGATTGGACTTCCCATGAATGCATTTGGTGTAGAAGATGGTAAACAGGCCTAACAATATTGTATACAAACATTCACAGCTACTCTTTTCAAAAGAGATTATTTGCATTTCAAAATTTGAACCACCAAAATTTGGTTTATGTCAGCATAGCCTATTGGTGCTAACCATCTCAGCAACAAGACTATTCCCTAGTGTGCAACTTTGTAAATGAGCTTTTCTGCTGAGTAATTTGAAATTATACTTACAGACCAAACATATAAAGAAAATATTACAGGGCCTTATCTGACCTTTTCCCCCTGTGTAATCAGTGAAATGAACAATTGATATTTCTAATTATAGTTCATAAAATAGAATCACAACACATAAATTATTTTAACAATTGCTTCTTTAAAACATTTTTGACATCTCTAATTCATGTTATAAATATTGCCAACAGTTGTATCTTGAGATGGTGCCACATTGGTTTTGTTTGTCCTCATTGGACTGTGAGATCTTTAGGAATGGGAAGAGTCTTTTGTTCCCTTAAACACATTTCTGTAGTAGTTTTTCACATATGATGTGTTCTTCTATTGGCGTCTCACTGAAGCTCTGAGATGCAAAACCTCTGCTTGTTTCTGTGAGGAAAAAGCCTCATCAAGTGGCTCAACTCTACACCTGAGCCCCACCATGAAAACAGGGACTTCAGTTAAATAGAAATGGCAGAAGTATACATTTTTCCATACTTGAGACATGATTTTATGAAAATATGAAAATGTTTCAGAACAAAATATTTTCTTACATATAAATATATTTGAAGGAATATTTACACTTTTCCTTAAGAGAGTTCATGTCCAGGTTTAGTCTTGAATAAAGTCAGATGAAATTGCCTGCACTAAGGAAAGTCATGTTTTATAGGAGAGATAAGAGTTTGATAAGGAGAAGGAGTGAGAGAAAGGAGGAGGGGAGGAGAGAAAAATGTATTTGTTATTACAGAGCTCTGTAAGACTTCTTCATGAATATTCTTCTAAATACATTCCCTCAGCCAAGTCTTGGTTTTGATAGATAAACAGAAAACAAATTGCTTGAGGTTTTCATCCTCTGCTTTTTCCAAGAGTGATTCCAAGCATTTGAAAAAAAGTTTCCTTTGAACCTGGGATTGACCAGTTGTTTCTGGATGCTCTTTTTCACACCTAGTTTCCTTACTCTATATATGAATATTCCAACACTTTTCTGAGTTGTAGTTGAGAGGCAAAAATAATGTTGAATATAGTACATATGTAATTCACAGAATCATAAGGGGACAATTTAAAATCCCCTTTTCTTCCAAAAAGTTAATATTGTCTCTCTTCTATCAAGTTTGCAGATTGAACATAGTGTAGAATGAGATAACTCTTTTAATCTTTAAGAGCAGACCAAAATTGTACGGACTCAGCTTTACTAAGACATACTGTCCATAGTATTCCAACACATTCTTCTGAAAATGACAGAAGTTTAAGATTCAGTTACACTAAGCTTTATGGTTAAAGTTTTCCTTTTACTTCACCAGTTGTTTTGCTCAAATCAGCCATTTGTTTTGGAATATTTTCAAAGTGTATTGTTCTGTGTACTTAGCTTGTTTAAGAATGAATATGGTTTGGACTTTTCTCATTTCTCTTCAACATATTTGTGTTGGAGTGAAGCTCTAGAAATACACTCACAATAATGATGGAAGAAGTCTTAAGAGGTAATTTATATTTGCTTGTTTTATTTGTGATCTGTGACCTTTACCTAATTACCTCAGGTGCAAGATCTAGCCAAAGACACTCAGAAATTAATGGAATTGGAAGTAATAAAATAATAACAAGGGATTTTATTAAAGGAGGCCCTTAATATTACTCTCCTCCATCAGCAACTTTTTCAAGTTTTTAATTTTTCATTTGATGGAGTATTAAATTTTGATGATTTAAGGAAATACTTTGTGATTTAGTAGTGTGATAAATAATACTTTAGAAAGCCATATCTCCTCTGTGTAAACCCAACTATCTATTGGATCTTGCATGTGAACATTTAATTTCATAATGGCATTTGCTTTGGAGTTGAGACACTATGAACTATGCTCCCTCGAATTTCCCACGTGGTCTAAAACTAACAGATTATTAGCAAATAACTCCTTAAAAGTGGAAATGGAAAAACTGAGCCCCTAAATTAAATTTGCAATGGTGAGAAGAGCATATTGTGTTCCATGTATGACATGTAAAATTAACTGTAATTTTTTCAATGTCTAATATTACCACTCAGCAGAATATTTATATTTTTTAGTTATTTAGGTCATCAGGTCACAAGTTGCCATCAGCATGCTGGCTTAAAAAAAAGGGAAACAAAAAAGAAAGATACATTTTCTCTTGTTAATATCTACACAATTTAGAGAAGCTTCATTGATCCCTGATCCCTGATCCTTGGATTTATCATCAGGGAAATCACAGCTGTAGTGAGACTGTGATGAAGATAATGTGGTTTGCGTACCTATCAGCAAGGCTGAGACATAGTAGATGCTCAATGGTATCAGTTCCTTTCCCTAATGAAAAAGCTAATATAGTCCAATCCCTTCTGTTAAGTAATTTATGCACATGTATGTGTATGTTTGTATGCACCTGCACATGTGCCTGTGTGATTTGAGGTTGGGTCACTCTGGTGCTTCTATCTATCCATATGATTTTAAGATTAAGATTAATATTTAATCCAGGATGAAAAGTCAGTTAAAATAGATTTCTTGGTGTCATGCAGATAGACTTTTAGTGTATTTCCCATAAACATTTGCTTGCATTTGTTTGCTTGCATATAGTGACAGGATAAGAATATCTTCCTGGAGTAGACGAGACCAGTTTTCCCAAAAGCATATTCTGGTCTGATGTTCTAGATAGTAGACACTCTGTGTAGCAGCATTTTAAAACTGAAGTTTCCAAAACAGAAATGATGTATGCTTTATAAAGAAGGTGGGGAGGGGTAATTGTTAGCCGTGATTAGGTTTCCAAAAAATCCATGAAATAGGGATATAGGCTGGAGAGGGAAAATACCATTCTCTGGGGAACCCAGTACTTTCTGACCTCACAATTAAAAATGAATTATTATTGAACCATCACCAAGGAGATACACTTGGAGATACTGATTGGCTATATCCCAGGTGGTGACCCATCTGGAAGAAACTACATTGGATCTTGACCCTATGGGTTGGGCAGATTCACATTCACACTCCTGGAATAATCACTGGAATAGAATAGCAGGTCTAAGTCATACCTAGAAAAAGATATTAATAATGAGATGAGATCAGTTTTAGATCTATTGAAAGTAAAGCCAACAGAATTCTGCATTGCTTTGACTTAGAATCTGTAAACAAACTATCAGTTGCATTAAAAAAAAAAAAAACTAAACTAAAAAAACCCCAAACCTACAAATGACAAGCAGGCAGGCAGGAAAGGCAATTGCAGACAAGTTAAAAATCCATAGACTTCTATCCTCCGTGGGGAGTCTTCATCTGGAAGTGTAATAGTCACACTTTGGCTGACTTAGAATAGCAACTAGGCTTTTGAGAATGTTTCAGACTTTTAAAGCTAGGTTCACTAGAAAGATTCACTTGACATGGCTCAGTAGTTTATACACAAGAATGCTCGAAAAGGATTTTCTTCCTTAAAAATTTTAGAGAAAAAGCCAACCCTTATTTTACATACTTGGTTTTGTCCTGGCTCTACTTTTCAGTAATTACTTACATGTTAGTTTGTATCTTCAGAGTTACTTAATCTGATATTTCTCCTGTTTCACTCATCATATAAGAGGCTCAAAGAGTTGGTTAAGAGCTGGATTAATCTAAAAATCAAATCTTCATGTCTTCTCAACTTATAATTCTGGCTATTTTAAGGTTTATTTTACGTTAGAGTTGAATGATGACATCTACTTTATACGACATAAAGAATTCTCTCGGGATGAGATGTACAGTCAAAGGAATATAGTCGCTGGTATTATAACCGTGTTGTATGGCAACAGATGGTATCTTCGCTTGTGGTGAGTACGGCATAATGTATACAGCTGTCAAATCACTATGTTGTACATCTGAAACTAATGTAACATTGTGTGCCAACTACACTTGAATTTAAAAAATCATCTCAGAATTTTATGAGCATTACGACATTTGTTTTTGTTTTTTTGTATAGTGAACATATTTGAAATCTCATTTTTACTTAATAAATTTTTTTCTACTTTACTCTGTAGTTTCAGATATTCATGAAATAGCACTATGCTGTGTTAAAGTGAAATGCTAGATGCAAACATTGAAACATTGCCAAATTATCAAATGTACAAATAATTTGGGGGAGTTTGAGAAATTACATTTATTATGAATAATGTGAAATCAGTGTCTCAATTTTATCTAAGCTTTGAAGCCCCAGAAAAATAGTGAATTTCTCAACTTAAATGGAAAGAGCTACACTTTTAGTTTCTATCATTTGGTTCTTTCACAAATCTGCTCCATTTGGGGGGAAACAATTTTGTGATACTAGAAGGAAAATATGAATTATTCCTATGGGTTAAAATATCTTGGGCCAGGATTTATTAGAGCAATACTAAAGACTTTCTCTGCTCTGTTTCCAGGTACAAGTACTGGCTGTTTCCTCTTGGGTTGATAACGGCACAGATTCTCATTCACTTTGTGGTCCATTTTCTTCTCATTCATAAATCAGCTTTGGCTAAAGGTTATTTCAGAAGCCAAGCAGGTATCATCAAAAGATACTTTTGTGGCAGATAAATAAGTGTCAGTGACAGTGATGTCATCAAGCTCTGTGCTGAAATGATCTGACTCCTTGATGACACTGTAATTTAGGGCCACACTGTAGTTAGCGGGTTTCTCTACCGGCTTCTGCTTGCAGTTGCAGAGCTTTCTGAAGGCGGCACGGAATTTCTGGGACATGAGATTGTAAATCACCGGGTTGATGGCACTGTTGAGATAAATGCAAATTCTGCAAAAGAGCAAGAACCAATTTTCTTGGAAAGGGCTGGAGAGAAATGAGTTGACAACCACAAGAGTCCTGTAGGGCATCCATAAAAGGGCAAACAGAATTACAACCACTGCCAGCATCTTGGTGACCTATGGAGAAATAAAGAGAAATGCAGTGCAAACACAAATGAAAACAAAACAAACAAACAAATGAAAATAAAACACCTTCGCCCTTATTCCCACCCCAACCATTAGTTCCCAAGATGTAGTCTGAGAGAAGGACTTAAATAAATGCATGCAGTTTTGTTTGTGAGATCATCCCAGGAAGCAGGATTAAGGAAGGGTAAAAGAGAGATTGGGATAGAAGAAAAGCTAAAATAGGGTGTATTATTGTGATGCTCCCTCTGTGGGGCAACTATGGATTAAGTAAGGCATTTCAGGATTATCTGTCCAGGGAAAGAGAGGCTGGGGCATTTATCCACTGGCTGCCAATCTCCCCACTTTGTTGAGGACTGCCTTAGGGGCTTTAACAGGCCCACACTTCCAGGATTCTCCTGCATGGAAACTCATGGGGGCTTTAGAGACTTTGAGGCAGAGAAGATAGACTGGGGACAGTGGATACTGGAAGCAGGATGTTCTCTGCAAGCAGGAACCATTCACTATCACAATGGCTGAAATCAGAGTCCAGCTAAGAGAATGTGACACAGGCCACCAAAAATGTCTGTGACAAGTGTCAGGAGACCTAGGGTCTAATCCTGTCTTTACTTACCTTATATGTGATGCTGAGAAATGATCTTAACCTTATAGGTCATCTGTAAAATGGAGCCAATATTGCTCCCCTAAATTAAATGAGGTAACATAATAGTCTGAAAAGGATAAAATGTCTTTAAAATAAGCCAATGGTTATGGAATATCTACTATGTGCCAGACACTCGACTAGCTGCTTTACATATGTTATCACATTTAAAAGGCTGAAAATCCTCCAAAATAGGTATTGCATCTTTCATTTTTCAAATCAGAAAATGAAGCGTAGATGCTGGTAAGTATTTTGGCAGAAGTGGTAGAATCTCAGAGCCAGGATTGGAATCCAAGTCAGCCTGGATCCAAGGTTTTGCCCTTCCCACCACACAGCTTTCCTGCAGGATCAAGGGAGATGAAGGACAGAGAAAACAAACCTTGAAGTTTTACATAGAGCTGACCCTACTCCTAAGGACAAACAAAGCACACTAGCTAGGACATTAGGGGGGATGAGGTTAATATCCAAGATTGCCCAGGGATCAGATCATCAAAGAGCATGATTTAGCAGATTCTGGAGATTGACGGACTAAGAGTTAGACCATTTGGTTTTGTCTTCGTTAAGTGGTTTTAGGACCTTAATGAAGGCATTCACCTGTATTTTCATGTCTATATCTGAAAATATGCCTGATCATATGTTCATTTACTTCATAGAGATATTGAGAAAATAAAATTTAAAAATAATGAACATGATAAGGGTTTGGAAACTCTAAAGCACTATTGGAAATATCACCCTTTGATTAATGACAATATAAAGAGACCATAATATTTCAATTTTATGAAAGACATATTAAAATTATAGCAGTGGTTATCTTTGGGTGACTAAGATAATAACTGATTGCTTTTCTCCAAAAGCAACACTTTATACATTTTAAAATAAGTTTTCAGTGGCACCTGGCTGGCTCAGTCAGTGGAGTATGTGACTCTTGATCTAGGGGTCATGGGTTCAAGCCCCATGTTAGATGAAGAGATTACTTAAAAAAAAAAAACAAACTTAAAAATAAATAATAAAATAAAATAAGTTTTCAGTTACCTTTACTGTCTCACTGGGTTTGAGAAATCCTCAGCCCAGACTTTCTAGGTGTTCTAACTTGAAAACAAACTGAAATGGAAGGGGCAGATTCTTCCCCTCTCAACCCTTTTGACTTTTCAGCTGCTTTACTAAAACCAGTACTAGCAGCTTCTGTCTTGTTCTGGCATTGAGGGGGATCCTCTTTTGGGAGAGGGCTTTTTAAGGCCTTTAGTGTAGAAATAAAGATTTTACATCTAGACATGTACACTGTCATCAGTATCTACTATAAACTCATCTCCCAACCTTGTACTTAATCCTGATAATAGAATCCATCTTGGTTTCCTTTGTCAGAAAACCTCTCTTTTTTCCGTTGTGCTGGGGCTCTGTCTTTACCCTTAGCCATATCTCTTCTACCTCAGCTAGAAATTCCCCTTGCATCCTACATTGTGGGAATAATGCTACTCTCTTGCTATTTTTTCCTGGATTTATAGTAATTGCCTTGTTCCTTGGCTTTCCAAATATCATTTGCTGTAAGACTTTTCATCTATGGGCACAAATAGCCTTTGTTTCTTTGTTTTTTTTTAAACCATTACTATCTCTTTTTTAACAACTCCTATTACTTGCTTGCGATAATACCTATGATCTATACGCCTATTCTCATGTTACTGTTTCTCTCCCTTCTCCGGCCATTTTATCACTCCCCTGAAGCTCTTCCTGCCCTCTAAAAATGTGCCTAAATTCCCGTTCTGCCTCACTCACTGTTCCCTGAGCTTCTCTTCAGACTCAGTGCATGGAGGGTAGTTAGACTTCATATTTTGCTAACTGGGGATAGAGAAGTTGTTCTGTGAGAAGGTGTAATTTTGACATTAGTTCATATAATGCCAGGTAAAATATTATTTCAGAGATTCTGACTTCTTTCATAGAAAAGAAGGATTTACTCAGTCAAGAGGTTAACTGAAGCCTAATTGCTAACTGAAGCCTAATTTTTTTTTCTGAGCACACTTTTAAGATTATGAGTAAGTACTTTAATTGGTCCTAGGAAATCAAAGACTTAATTCAGTGATAAATATTCTGAAGGAATATTTCTGAAGGATAAATATTCTGAAATATTCTTTGGAAGGAGCTATAGTAATTATAATCTTTATCATCATCATCACTCACATCCTTGTCTTTGTCTCCTGTCTAGTACAAGGTTCTTGTACATTGGGTCACTGCTTCACACCTGCCAACAACCTTGCCAAGGACTAAGCATCCTATGTTTGAATCTCTGCTTGCTACACAATGAGACTGCTACCGTCACATTTCAATTCTTTATGATGGCTTGTCACAAAGATTTGTAAACATTATCTTATCTAATGCTTATAATAGCTCAGCTAGTATTAGCTCCATTTTACATATGGGGAAACTGGGATTTAGAGAAAGTATGTGATTCATCTAAAGACACATGAGTAGTAAGTGACAAAGCTGTGATTCAACTTAAGTCTACTTAAGACAAAGCCCATGCTCTTTCCTTTATACTTTGCTCTTTCTCTCTATGAAAGTCTTTGGCATTTCCAAAGATAAGATTTCTACTGCGTTATCCCTATTGTGGTCACCAAAACATTTAACTTCTTCTAAACATAAATTCAACATATTTATTGCTGCTAAATTTCCAAACTTAAAGTTTGAATTTCACCTACCTTTGTGTTTTTCTCTACAATTGTCAGGTGAAGCATTAACCTACATTTAATAGCTACCTACCTCTTTTCACTTAATGTCAGTGAGGGAGCATTGTCTTTAACAAAAGCAACATGTTTCAAGGTTAATATCTCTGCCGTGTGCTTCCACCACTCCCCATCCCCCGGCAAAATCTGACATCATTAATAAAATTTTTATTGTAATGATCTATATTTGTCCACCTCTCTAATACATGGTAAGCTTTGTCAGGGTATAGGTAAGTTTATTCATTTCTTTGTCCTCAGGGATTTAGTACAGTATGTGACATAAGATAGACCCCGGTAAATATTGAATAAATTCTGGCATGGAAAGAATTATTTCTAATTATGTAGCTATGATCACTTTCTGGATTTTGATACTCCAAAATTTTGTTGGAGGATTTTTACAAATACTACTTTTAATATTAAAAAATCTCTTTTAAGTGGAGATTGATTAATTAATAAACTGAGTCCTTAACACATTTCAGCTTTTTGTTGAAATAAATATATTTTTTAAAATGTAAGGAAGTGTGGAGTAAAACAAATATAATGATGTTTCTAAAATTGATCAAGTGGAAAATACATTTCCAGTGAGATAATAAGGAATACATTTACTCTCATTCATAATTATTGTTAGTTAATTCCCAATATCTTTGATTGAGTTTAATCACTTTCTAAAATATTCACAAGTTTTAAGTGTTTCCATAGCTTGGATATTAAGAACTCCTATTCAGTATAGAAGCAAACACCTGGAAAGAAATGTTCTAGAGATCATCTTTCATACAGTGTGGTTGTTGAAGTTTTATTTCTGTTGCTATTCCTTATCCCAAATGAAATGACAAAGATGCAAATTTGAAAATATTTTTGGGCCATTGTTTTTAAGCATTGACAGTTTTGCTAGGGCAATGTGATGAGATGAACGATTGCTTCTTTACAAGCCTCTGTACCAGGGCATAAAGTTCCTTGAGAAACAGTATGACACAATCTTCAGGGGAAAATGATTTTACAATATATTTTTATTGGGAAGGAATTTATCCATCCATTTAGGAGATGCATTTGCGTTCCTACTATGTACCAGTCAATATCCTGTCTCTTGAGGATTCGACAATGATCCAGAGAGACATTGCCAATGGCTTTATGTACCTTATAATCTGATGGTAGTTGTAATACATTGTAATGAATCTGAAGACAGAAAAAAATTTTGGTTCTAGGAAAGCACCAGACCTGATGACCCTGAGTTCAAGTGGTGGTTTGTGAGGGCTTTCTGGTCTCAGTGACATCTATGCCAAAGTCTGGAGGTAAAGAGAGGCAGAAAGAGTGTTCCTGAAGAGATTGGATATGTGTGGTAGCCTGGAGGCATGAGATAGTGAGGCTATCATGGGTGCCAGGAGTAATTTAGTATGCAAGTTCTGGGGTGCCTGTGTGGCTCAATTGGTTGAGCATCTAACTCTTGGTTTCAGTTTGGGTCTGATCTTAGGGTCATGAGATGGAGCCCCACTTTGGGCTCAGTGCTCAACACTGCATTTGCTTCAGATTCTCTCTCCCTCTGTTCCTCCTGCTCATGTTCTCTCTCTCAAATAAATAAATCTTTTTAAAAAAATTAGTATGCAGAGTTCCAATTGCAGATCATGTAAATAAGTAGAGCTCTA